GTCCCTATATAGATGCCCGATAAGCTAGTTCTCAAGAAACAAATTCAATGACCATGGGAAGAGGAGAGATGGATCCCTGGTGTTACACCATGAGAATACTCAAAAGAATTGAGATGTTCAATGTGACTCAGATTGTTTATATTGTTTTCCAACAATGTCTCATTGGTGAAGTATAGGAGGATGATTTCAATGACAGATACTGGTCACCTAAATGGCCCATGTGGGAGGAAGCTAATATGTGTGCCCCCCATCGACCTATGAGAAAGCCTATCACAGAAAAGAGGGACGATTTAGAGGGCTGGTACAAATCTGAACGACAGGTGTTGGATAAGATTTGCCTAAAAGAGCACACTGACTCTTCAGATCACTAGGTACTCTGCAAAGTATGTGAGCATGCATGTAGGTTCATTCAGAATTCCCCTCACAATACTGTTGCCCATTAAGCAGTGTTGAAGTTTCCCAAAAAGTCACTAGGTATAAAATGCAAATTGTTTTCTATGAAATATGTTTTTTTATAATTAATTCCTAGACCAAACTGAATGTCACCAGACTAGTAAAATGAAAAACATAAAAGGTAATTTAAAAAAAAATTGCCTCAATATATAGTTATGAATGCCCAAAATAATGCAAACTGTTGCCTCTCACGATTCACAGAGATTTAACCAATTAAGTCTTCAGCATTTTAATAAAAGGCTGCAACACTGGACCAAGTAATGGGAACACAGACAGGAACATTCTGACACAAACATTTTATCATGAATAATTCCATCAAAACAAGTTTTTATTCAGCAATACAAAGTATGCTAAGTTGAAAGAGGAGAAGAAATTAATTAAGAGGGGATGTTCTCATTTTGGTACAATTGCAATAAATTAGATTTTCCATCTCAACTTAAGGATACACTGTCTTTCAGAATAATAATGTCTGCAAAGCTTGTTCTGACAGCGTTTTATTATGCATTAAAAAGCAAAGGAAAATTTTCTTACGCTGACAAAAAGCAGTGTTAATGCAATGTAATGCGCACAGCAAAAGCACAGTCTACTTTTCAGAAGCCCACATACATAGAAGTACAAAAACACACAGTTTTTAATAAAAGCAATCTATATATTTTACAACACAAATCATCCATAGGCAATATCTATAGAACTTCAAATGGTTGGAAGTTGACTCATCATCAGTTGAGGAAGACCCTTTTGGAGACTTGTATGAAAACTGACACTCTTTTGACACCCATACTGTATATTAGTTATATGTCAATTAAACTATTCAAATGCACCAAGAGTGATGTCACTGACCCACATCCAATCAATCTCCTAAAATTCAATATTTTAAAAGTGAACTTGGATTTAGAGGAAGCCTGCATTCAGAAAGTATGAAGGCTTCCACTGCTGACCTCTCCTGAAAGTACTGGTTAATTTGCTCTTATGCTGATCCAAATGCTTTTGTCAGAGCAAGATTTTTATTGCTGGATACTGTCGGCACACAGCCTTTGGTGTGTTATGTTTATGCCTCTTCTATGATCACCTTTTTTTTTTTTAACACATAACTTTTTTTTGTTTTTGATTGTCCTAACCTGTCTTAAAAACTGTAGCAGTGTGTAAAATGAATGTATACCAGACAATTATACAGAAAAAGCCACCTTTTTTTTCTCTGTTTTCGATAGGCAAAGGCCTACTACTCCGAATGAGAAACCTGGCCCTTGCTTTAATAATAGCTAATTTACAACGTATATGTAGATTAGGAGTTCTGACTTCACAGGTTTTTCCTGCCGAAAAGGCATCTTCAAGATCGTAATTCAAAATGTATTGCAGCCAGGCATCTAGAATTTACAAAGAAGGTCAAGAACTGCGTTTTTTTTCTAGTTCAGTTGAGGTTTTCCTTTAAGCCAACCTAACTATTCCAAACTACCTGTCTAGTATAACTTCTGTGGCTTCTCAAAGCTCTTCCTAGTCATCAGTATTCCAATTTTGACTTAACTTTGGCATGGCTTAGGTTGGTTATGCAGAAATCGGGGTTAGGAGCAGGAGGGGTTTCATACCAGAGCTTCTACTTTGAGCTCAGCCCGAACAGCTGTTTTTGATAACTCGGTCTTTGTGTTTTCAGCACAAAAACATTGGCTGCTCAGCTATGCATATGTGCTGTGTGTGGGTTAAAGCCCATCCTTTTGCTGCAGCCAGCATGTGTTATGCAGGCAGTAACAGGTTAAGTAACATTATGGGGTCCATTTATAAATGTTTTCACCCAAGATTCACACAGCTTTCACCCAAGATTTACAAATGTTTCTAACTGGATAAAGGTGTGAATCTTGGGTGAAAGTTGTCAAACCGTTGGGTGAAAATATTTATCAATAGACCCCTATTGTCTTTCCTCCTCAGCATTTATGAGATTGTTTTCCAGAAAAAATACAAACTAGAAGAATGTGGAGGAGTGCAATTTAGAAGCTGCAGTCTATTGTAGATACATGAATGACAAAAAAGGCAATGATAAATTAACTATGGGGCATAGCTCAAGATTCAGAGCAATTTTATGTTTGTCAGTTCAGTAAGACATTTTTTTTGCTTATTTTCATCAATGAACATATTTTAAAAGCCAGGTTGTGTATGCAGTTTACACTTAACTTGTAGAAATTATGTACAGGTTATGTTTTAAACCTTTCACCTTAAAAATTCAGCTACTTCCTAGTTTTGTATCCTTAGGCAAAATACATACTTACAGTACATGAGACGTAGAGGAAAGCAGATCACAAAAAAAATTTATTTCTAAATCACTATTGGGTTGATTTATTTAAAACACAGAAATGAAAATGAGCACAAAAGTGGAGTTTAAGCCAACTAAAGGTTTCAAAATTAACCAAATGTTAAAATTAAAGTTGTACTTGGTCAACCAACTAATGATATATTCTGGGGTTTCTGAAGCCCCATTACACAGTAAAGAAAATATCCTATCTTCATAATCTAAAGTTTTATATTTGACTTTACTGCCATTTTCCGCTATGTAATACCCAACCAAGGCAGCAGGGGGTGTGCCTGTGACCACTCTGTGACAGCCTTGTTGCCTAAGAACAGCATGGCCATGGACATGCTCCAATCCACATCATCACATTTGCAAGCATTATAGTGCCATTACTAAGGTGGTGCATGGTCACTGCATACCTTTCAGTAACAATGACCCATGATGACTGGCAATCTTGATGGGTCATCTGTATTCTGGTGAGCACTTGGAATGTGGCACTAAGTGCACTAACAGCTGAAAACAACTAACTTAGGCAGGGGTATCCAAACTTTACAAAGGGCCAGTTTACTGTCCTCTAGACTTTGGGAGGCCGGATTGTGCCTAGTATGGGGAGAAAATGTCCCAGGCACAGCATCAGTGATAGTAAATAATGCCTCAGGTATAATGTTTAGTTGCATAGTGCCTGTTGTCCATAGGATGAGGAATAGTGCCCTATCTCTGGTGTCAGTAGACAGAATAGTGGCCCATCATTGGTGTCAGTGGATGGAATAGTGCCCCATCAAGGGTGCCTGTGGATGGAATAGTGCCTCATCTCTGGTATCTGTGGATGGAATAGTGCCCCATCATTGGTGTCAGTGGATGGAATAGTGCACCATCATTGGTGTCAGTGGATGGAATAGTGCCCTATCATTGGTGTCAGTGGATGGAATAGTGCCCCATCTCTGGTATCTGTGGATGGAATAGTGCCCCATCTCTGGTATCTGTGGATGGAATAGTGCCTCATCTCTGGTATCTGTGGATGGAATAGTGCCTTATCTCTGGTGTCTGTGGATGGAATAGTGCGTCATTATTGGTGTCAGTGGATGGAATAGTGCCCCATCATGGGTATCAGGGGATGGAATAATGCCCCATCATTGGTGTTAGTGGACAGAATATTGCTTCATCTCTGATCTAAGGAATTGTAATCGACTTTACTGTCATTCTCCTCTATGTAATAGCTAAACAGGATAGCTAGGGTGTACCCCTGACCACACTGTTACAGTGTCTTTGTCGAAGAACAACATGGCTACGGACATACTCCAACACACATCATCACACCTGCATACTTGATAATGGCATTGTGAAGGTGGTGCAAGGTCACTGCATACTTTCAATAACTGCGCATGATGAAGTGCACTAACTGCTGAAAACAACTCACTCTGTGTTAACTATTGACAACTTGCTCCTGTGATGAAAACTCTGGGTAGATGAGAGGGTGAAAATGCTGTTTCTGATTACATCTGTTGCTTATTCATGCCTAATTCATGCAGTTTTCCCAAGTTCTACTTAAAGACACAGTGGCATGGAGGAGGAAAGTCTCCAAATGATCTGAGAGTCGAAAAATTATTTATTAGTTCAGTAAATAAATAGAGTCAGATTTGGCATTAACTCAAAGTTTATGCTCATTCTCTTTTCTCTTCTCCAGTTTTAACACTTGAGCTCCACTGCCCCTACCTGACCTTTTACATTTTCATCCTAGTTTATGACATCACTGAGGTAACAACTTTATAAAGCAGTAGCAGTGCGGCACTGTGTTATATTTATATCAGTAAGTAAATACTCTTTGCTTATCACTTGCTTTTGCTTCACAGGCATTGTTTGATATAGTTGTTTTAGAACAAGAAAATTATATTTTTCAGGGCTAGTAGCCTGTTTTTTTTTGGGGGGGGAGGGGTTGTACTAATACAGGGCAAAATACAGTGATACATACTACTCCAAAGCAGCCAAATAGAATTCAGCTAGATGTCTACTAGTTACTGTTGCATCATGACATACTCAACCACATTATGAAGAGAACCCTTACAGTTTTATATTATGAAGCGCACTCTTTATAATATGCTGTAGACCGTTTTTAGCTAATTACACGCCTATGTATGCTTTCCACTCTCAATTTATATAGACATTCAGGGAGACGTAGTAATTGCAGGTATTAGACAAACACAAGCAAAGATACTACAGGCGCAGGGAAGAAGCTTCCATATTGCAGCAAAACAATAGGTGCTACCCTTACCTTCAAGATATAAGACATCCTCTACAATAAATATGTAGAAAAAAAGAAAAGAATATATGTAAGAGAGAGCAAGTAAAAAAAAAACAGTTTAACATAGAGTCATTGCCCTACCGCTCAATAAGAAAATAGATCATTGTAATCAAAACAAGCCTGCACTGGGTGGTTGCAGTTACAAAAATACATCTTAAATAAAGTAGGGCAAATTGAGAGTGCTTTTTATAACAACTAGTATCGTTTAACCCTTCACTCAATGCATAATTCAAAATGGGTACAATAAAGACACATAAGTGCCTTGAAGTGCTATCATTCAAGAAACTATAAGGGGTATACATACAGAGGAACTTTCAATTATAGCACTCAAGAAATTTAAAAAAAAAATGAAACACTTAACACCAAAATAAATGTATAAAATTTTCATTTTCTGTGTTCAATCTGTGAGTAATAAAACTTTTTTGTAATGAAATGTGTGCATATATGGTTCATCAATTGCTTGGTTGTATATAAATTCTTTATATCAGTACTTATCTAAAGATCCTGATGAAACAGATATATTCCACAAAATACATTGTCCACATTTGTAAATAATAACATCTTCTGTGGTGTTTCTATATGCAGTCTAGACGTCTAAACGATCAAATTATTAACATGTATATACCATGTGTACCTGAATGTTTTTACTAAAGTAGCTTTGCATGTGTTTATATACACACACATACACAGAAACACACAAACACCATACTGTCAAAAGTATTGGGACGCCTGCCTTTACATGCACATGAACTTTAATGGCATCCCTGTCTTAGTCTGTAGGGTTCAATATTGAGTTGGCCCACCCTTTGCAGATATAACAGCTTCAACACTTCTGGGAAGGCTGTCCACAAGGTTTAGGAGTGTGTCTATGGGAATGTTTGACCATTCTTCCAGAAGCACATTTGTGAGGTCAGGCACTGATGTTGGATGAGAAGGCCTGGCTCACAGTCTCCACTCTAATTCATCCCAAAGGTGTTGAGGTCAGGACTCTGTGCAGGCCAGTGAAGTTTCTCCACCCTAAACTCACTCATCCATGTCTTTATGGACCTTGCTTTGTGCACTGGTGCGCAATCATGTTGTTAGAGGAAGGAGGCATTCCCAACCCCTGAAAAACTACTCCACAACATAAAATAATGGATATACGACCGCTGGGTAACAGTAAATATATAAAATCAGCCGCCAGCAGAAAAGAAGAAAATACCTGAATCCTCTAATGGAATGTACAATAATCAATAAAAATGCAGCACTTGATATTGCAAATAAAAATGACATAAATGAAAGAATGAGTAAAAGTCTTAAAGAGTGCAACGTGGCAATCGTGGTTCCTTAGATGGCTGTTAAATTATCGTGACTTCTGTGGTTCGTGAGAAGTGAGTATACAATGTACTAACCAGATAGCACATGGTTATGTGCGTTGGAGTAAATAGGACCTACTCCAAAGGTACTCTGGGAACCGGAACTCTGCAAACAGGTGAAGTCGTCAGGTGGGGTTGAGTCACCAGATGTCATCAGACGAGCGCAGATTTCCTCATTCCAGTATAATGTGTGATCATCACATTAGATACATCATGCAGTATGGATTTCAGCCACCGGGGGGATCATGTACTTTAGTGTACGTCTCCCACCATGGAGCACCTTAAGGGAGGGGGGATCCAGAGGTAATAAGGTAGCATATAGGTCAATAATCCTTGTACAGGGGGGTTACTGACGCGTTTCGAGTACATACTCGGTTTCAGAGGGCCCTTTAACAGCCATCTAAGGAACCACGATTGCCACGCTGCACTCCTTAAGACTTTTACTCATTCTTTCATTTATGTCATTTTTATTTGCAATATCAAGCGCTGCATTTTTTATTGATTATTGTACTCCAAAACATAATCCCCCCTCCACCAAAACTTTACACTTGCAGTTAGGCAAGTACCGTTCTCCTGGCAACCACCAAACCCAGACACGTCCATCGGATTTCCAGACAGAGAAGCATGATTCATCACTCCAGAGAACACATCTCCACTGCTCTAGAGTCCAGTGGCGGCATGCTTTACACCACTGCATCCAGCGCTTTGCATTGCACTTGGTTATGTAGAGCTTGGATGCAGCTGACCCCCCTCTGTCATTTTACATGGCCTACCACTTCATGGCTGAATTGCTGTTCCCAGTTGCTTCCACCTTGTTATATTACCACTAGTAAGTTGACCGCAGAATATTTTGTAGAAAGGAAATTTCACGGATGGACTTATTGCACAGGTGGCAACCTATCATGGTACCGCATCTGAATTCACTGAGCTCCTCAGAGCAGTCCATTCTTTCAAAAATATTTGTAGAAGCAGTCTGCATGCCTAGGTGCTTGATTTAATACACCTGTGGCCATTAAGGTGATTGGAGCACCTGAATCCAATTATTCTGAGGGGTGTCCCAATACTTTTGGCAATATAGTTTGTGTCTGTATAAATCAAAAACTGGTTTAGAGGCACTCATATGTCTTGCAGAGGAGGAAGATCACTGATTATCTGATCTTCCTCCGCTGCAAGACCCCTGAGTGCCTCTAAGCTAGTTTTGAATTTATATAGATTTCATTGCAGGTGAGCACCTGGGCTTTTATGTCAAACATAGTGCCATGACTACCATTATAACTAGAATTTAAATTGTGCCAAGTCTAAGACTATCAATAATAAATAGGTACTGCATCCCAAAAACTGTACTAAAAAAAAATAACAAAGAGAAGGGTGGGACTCTCTAAGTACCAAACACCAACACCATTAAGATAAAAAAGTACAACATTTATTGTACAAGATTACAAATTATACAGAAAACATATAATGGACCAGTTTGAACTAGATTATAAGTACATAGGTGAGTCGATTGCTTCCATCTGTTGAGAAGTTTTCAGATGGAATTTGATACCTTAAAACCTCAACGCATTTCAGCTCTTAACAAACCCTTCATCAGGAGAAAGAAAATGGTCTAGGACGAAAGCACATATGGATATCTGACTCCTTTTCTTTAGTATCCTTGGAACTAGATAGATACTGTAGATAGATAGACAGACTGTGTGTGTAATATATATATATATATATATATATATATATATATATATATATATCAATAAATGATCTTTTTATATTTCAATATACTGTATGCATTTAATTTTTTTATAATTCAATATTTTTATTGAAATAAATTATCTTTTTATTAGTGACTTGTTATTTCTTGAGTGCTCTAATTGGTACTCCATCTATGTATACTACTTATTCTTTAACCATTCATCAATTCATAACCTCTGCTGGATAATAAGGTTATAGAATCCAGTGGCTGCTCTTTATGTGGTAATATACTATATAATCTTTAAAACAATGACTGCTTGAGGCACAGAAGAGAAACAATAGATAGGAAACATTATATCGATATACAGTGGATATAAAAAGTCTACACACCCCTGTTAAAATAATATGGTTGCATAAGCGTGCACACCCTTAAAGGCCTCCTTCCTAAAATGCTTGTTGCCATGGCTGCTGATTAATTAACTGCAGCACTTTCTGAGTTTCTAAAGCATACCTAGAATGGAAGGCCTACTTATTAGCTCACAACCCCCCCCCCCCCCTTCATCTTTATTGCTGTATAACAGCCAAGCAAAAATGTATCTGTGAAGAAAAAAGTTAGAGTTAATACTTACTGCCCATGGCACCTAGGTAAGTATGACATCATGATCCTTCCAAGGAGATCATGGGAAAGATGAGGATCCCAAATTTCATGAGAAGATTTTCTTGCAATGTGCTAAAATGCCTACTTACAAAACTTGGGGCATTCACCATTCTCCAGGAATCTCACCAGAAGAATAGTGTTTAGAGTATATAGAAATTTATACAGGGAGAGGTGGCTCTGACACAATGATTGGAACCTGCTCCCTCTTGCAAGGTCTATTTTAAGCATGAAGATCAGCATGAAACAGAGGCAGCTTGCATTTTCAGAACACAAGCTCAACAAAGGCATCCTCTACAATTCTCTTTTTAAATATCTATTAGCATTTTCACGGTTTCTGGTGCTTCCCTAAACTTCTCATCCTAACAGAAAGAGCTAACTGTGGACAGTGCAGTCTCTGGTCAGCCTCTTAACTTGGAGAAGGGAGAGGGGGGGGAGCAGGGAGGTGCAGGGGTGTGCCTATCCATCCCAGGCTATGGGGCTGTTTTCTTTTACTGGACGCAATGTAGAGAGATGAAACTTCAGTACCTGCATGCAAAAGTGGCTTCATAGGATATTGCAAGAGAAAGGAGTCATCCTGAAAAAGGAAACCTGGGGTAGCAGCCATGGCACCAGCCTAAACTAGAATATAGGCAAGGATTAAAAGATAAAGACGTTTCCTACTCCTTAAGTGATTCAATTAGCTGCTGAAAGTGTTTAAAAAAATGAAAGTTTAATATCACTTTAGACTAGAGTAAGGAGGCTTCATTACGTTTGTCTACACTTTATATATTTTAATGATTGGGTGAGCTAGACATATACTTTCCATGAGGTCCAAAGTACGAGTGCTTTTGGAGTGATCTAATATCTACATGGAATGTAATAAATGCGTAAACGCCTTTATAAAGTTTTTTTTTTTATATTCTTGGTATGAAAAAAGTTACCTTGTTTTAGAAGTCTTCATTTTCCTCCAAAAAGTGAACCTCATGGCCAGATTCACACTGATGCATGGTTACACATGTTAACACATAAAATGTTATGTACACTATATTGCCAAAAGTATTGGGACACCCCTCCGAATCATGGGATTCAAGTGTTCCAATCACCTCCATGGCTACAGGTGTATAAAATCAAGCACCTAGGCATGCAGACTGCTTCTACAAACATTTTGGAAAGAATGGGTCACTCTGAGGAGCTTAGTGAATTCAAGCGTGGTACCATGATAGGTTGTCACCTGTGCAATTAATCCATCTGTGAACTTTCCTTGCTACTAAATATTCCACGATCAACTGTTAGTGGTATTATAATAAAGTGGAAGCAACTGGGAACAACAGCAACTCAGCCACAAAGTGGTAGGCCACGTAAAAATGACAGAGCGGGGTCAGCACATGTTGAAGCGCACAGAGCGCAGAAGTTGCTAACGGTTTGCAGAGTCATTAGCTAAAGACCTCCAAACCTCATGCCTTCAGATTAGCACAACAAGAGTGCGTAGAGAGCTTCATGGAATGGGTTTCCATGGCTGAGCAGCTGCATACAAGTCTTACATCACCAAGTACAATGCAAAGCATTGGATGCAGTGGCGTAAAGCATGCCGCCACTGGACTCTAGAGCAGTGGAGATGTGTTCTCTGGAGTAACAAATTATGCTTCTCTGTTTGGCAATCCGATGGACGTGTCTGGGTTTGGCGGTTGCCAGGAGAACGGTACTTGCCTGACTGCATTGTGCCTAGTGTAAAGTTTGGTGGAGGGGGGATTATGGTGTGGGGTTGGGCTTGGCCCCCTTAGTTTCAGTGAAGGGAACTCTTAAGGTGTCAGTATACCAAGACATTTTGAACAATTCATGCTGCTAACTTTGTGGGAACAGTTTGGGGAAGGCCCCTTCCTTTTCCAACATGACTGCGCACCAGTGAACAAAGCAAGGTCCATAAAGACATGAATGAGTGGGGTGGAGAACTTGACTGGCCTGCACAGAGTCCTGACCTCAACCCAATAGAACACATTTGGGGTGAATTAGAGTGGAGACTGTGAGCCAGGCCTTCTCATCTGACATCAGTGCCTGACCTCACAAATGTACTTCTGGGAGAATGGTCAAACATTCCCATAGACACACTCCTAAACCTTGTGGACAGCCTTCCCAGAAAAATGTAAGCTTTTGTAGCTGCAAAGGGTGGGCCAACTCAATATTGAACCCTACAGACTAAGACTAGGATGCCATTAAAGATCATGTGTGTGTAAAGGCAGGCGTACAAAATACTTTTGGCAATATAGTGTATGTCGCTGTGTTGTGCCAATCATTCTACAGTAACGCACACATTAGTAAATGCAGTGCAGGTGCTTTTTTTGTGTGTGAAGGTGCATTGACAGCCCATTCAAAACTATAAAATACCGTCATGAATGTTTGTAAATGCACCACAATAGTGTAAGTGGCGCCATAGCAGACCCATCTAAAGAACAATATCGTAGGAGTTATTCCATGATATCTGTGGAAAAAGATTCCAGATTCCTAGTGCAGGTTACAAATAAATGGTTGCTGTAGGCAAGGCACTTCCCTTCAGACACTTTTTACATGAACCTTATATGTTAAGTTCTTAGTCTTTTGTCCTTGGCACTCTACAACACAAAATTCCTGTAAGTTACTCTACCGTAGCTCCTGTTGTAATGGAGCTACATGCTGCTACATGGAGTAATTTGTTTTTTTGCTATATAGAGGGCCACTTTCTAAAATGGGATTAAATAGCCTATATAGTACAATCTTCCATACAATAAAATGAAAAAAAAAATCAAATGTATAACACAAGCAAAATATTTGGGGGTTCCACTCATAATAGGTCATTATATATATATATATATAGTGCAGCGCTGAAATGTAATGGTATATAAAGAGTCTTTCTCATGACAATAAAATCAAATCAACTCATAATAGGTATTGGTACAGAAACTGAATTGTATGGGGTAGCGAACGTTTACATTTCTTCCCTTAACACCTTATGATTATACAAATTTCCTACTATATAGCCCAGGGATAAAAAAAATGTACTGGGAAAATATGGAGGTTGCCTTACATAATGTATATAACTGAAAATACTAGTTGGCTAGCTTTCATACTTTAATAATTTTCTGGGGAACAGATTCAGGACAAGTTTGTAGATCAGAACATCTGACTCCACATTGACTTTCTAATCTGTATTCTTCTGCTGGGTTAGTGACTCCAATAGTAAGAGACAGCCAGGCAAATTGCTTTCTAAGAAAAAGACCACTACTGGTAGTCCCTGTATTTCTCTCAGTACTGTTTTTTTTCCACATCAAACCATGATAAAATGTTTGAGAAAGCACTAGCAAAACTAGTTTCCCGTTAGTGATGACTGATAAAGGCTGTTTTGTTTAATGGTTGCCACATCTGCAGCATGAACGGAAAATTGACACGGCACCATATATGATATTTCACGCAATGTAGACTGCCCTTACTGAAAAATGCTGAGAGCTCATGGCTTACCACATTAAAGGGCAAGTACCCCTAAGGCAATATATGTTTGGCACCCACTCACATTTTAAGGCTGCATGTTCTAATTACAGAAAGGAAGTTTGAGGCTTGTCATTGAGACATGTGTAGTGCTGGCAGTTGTTGTATGAGAAAGCACATGCTAAGCAGAAATAAGATGCAGTTTTTTGGTGACCTTTAAGCATGTCCTGTTTTTGTTGTAACATAGCAAATAACTTATTAAATCACAACTACCTAAAACGATGCTCAAGTTTAAAAAATACAAGATTCTTCTAAATTTATTTGACCAAGTTCACCAAAAATTTAAATTCCATTATTGGGAGGTTGCTGTTGGCTTGGTCCACATGTTAACTGCTTACATTCCCCAGTGAAATTTCTTACCAACTTTTTTTTGACTGTAGGCCAAATAAAAAAGTAACAATTCTGCAGAGAATTTCTGCATAAGAACAGTTCAAAATGTACATAAATGAGGTTGACATGGTTTATATACGTGCCCATGTTTCCCAAGCTTGAAAAATTACACTGGTAGCAGGCTCAAGTTACATACCGTATTTTCAGTTGAATATGCAATGTGAATAAAGATGATTAGGGATGACTACATAGATACTATAGGAAATAAAAATGATTTCAACCATGATTTTGAAGTGTCAATTCTGTAGGTTCTGTAGCTATTTCAGGTAGCACAAAAGTAAACTTGTATATTCAAAGAAAAAAAAACAATGTGAACCAGGGACACCTGTTTTAAGTTTAAGTTTTAAGCTCCTCATCCATACACGCACAGAAACACTATATAGTCAAAAGTATTGGGACACCTGCCTTTACAAACACATGAACTTTAATGGCATCTCAGTCTTAGTCCGTAGGGTTCAATATTGAGTTGGCCCACCCTTTGCAGCTATAAGAGCTTCAACTCTTCTGGGAAGGCTATCCACAAGGTTTAGGATTATGTCTATGGGAATGTTTGACCATTCTTCAAGAAGTTCATTTGTGAGGTCAGGCACTGATATTGGACAAGAAGGCCTGGCTCGCAGTCTATGTTCTAATTCACCCCAAAGGTGTTCTATCGGGTTGAGGTTAGGCCAGTCAAGTTCCTCCACCCCCAACTCGCTCATCCATGTCTTTATGGACCTTGCTTTGTGCACTGGTGTGCAGTCATGTTGGAACAGGAAGGGGCCATCCCCAAACTGTTCCCACAAAGGAACCATGAAATTGTCCAAAATGTCTTGGTAAGCCAACACCTTAAGAGCTCCTGGAACTAAGGGGCCAAGCACAACTTCTGAAAAATGTCCCCACACTATAATCCCCCTTCCACCAAGCTTTACACTTGGCACAATGCAAGTCAGGCAAGTACCATTCTCCTGGCAACCACCAAATCCAGACGCGTCCATTGGATTGCCAGACAGAGAAATGTAATTTGACACTCCACCCTTTTCATGAAGCTCTCTACGCACTGTTTTTTGTGCTAATCAGAAGGCTACATGAAATTTGGAGTTCTTTAGCTATTGACACTGCAGACAGTTGGCGACTTCTGCACTCTGTGCGCTTCAGCATGTGCTGACCCCACTCTGTCATTTTACATGGCTGTTGTTCCCAGTTGCTTCCACTTTATTATAATACCACTAACAGCTGATCATGGAAAATTTAGTGCCAAGGAAATTTCACAGATGGACTTATTGCACAGCTATTGCACAGCTGGCAACCTATCATGGTACCATGCTTGAATTTAATGAGCTCCTGAGAACAACCCATTCTTTCACAAATGTTTAAAGAAGCAGTCTGCATGCCTAGGTGCTTGATTTTATACATCTGTGGCCATGGAGGTGATTGGACCACCTGAATACAATGATTTGGAGGGTTGTCCCAATACTTTTGGCAATATGGTGTATTTACGTAACCGCTTGCATCAGGTGTGGCTATGTACGAAAACAACATTTGCACTACACATGCCCAAGTGAAAGTAATGATTCAAGGATCATTATTCTCAGTTAACTCTAAACTGATGACCTGGGGTGATAAAGTGAAAAATTTTGCGGTTTGTCTCACAAAATTGCAAGGCTTGACATGTTTGGTATCTATTTATTCCTTGCAACTTCATTTTTTATATTTTACCAAAAACAAAATTCATAGGGCCAGAAACATTTTAGTTTCCCTTGAACAAATCACATTAAATGTACATTTAAAGGGCAATGTAAGAAACTGTAAATGACCACTTTTAGCTACACTTTTTTTTAGCTTTGGTCCATGTGAATTAAACCTGAGCTCTTCTTCCTCAAGACCAACATTTGGGAAACATGGACAAAGTGATGGCAGAGAATAGTGATAAAGGAAATGGGATAGAAGTCCAGTGGAGGATTATAAGCAACTGGTGTGTGTTGCACCACGAACTATCAGTTTTAATTGCTCTTACAAGCATTATTGGATGTGGAAGCATATATTGGAAATTGAAAACTGCTACAATAAATATAAAATACAATACAGTACAATAAAATATACATATTTTGTGTATTTTAGAATTAATAAAGCAATACTTAAATATAACAATATATAGATATAAAGGCTACCTCTTTATAGCTGAGTGCAGCTGATGGTCGAAGTGGTGGAGCTGGCCGCAAACAACTCAGGGTCCAGGCTTTGTAAATTTTGGCAGGTTCTAGAGGTCCACGAGGAACTAACGAATGTGAGTGGTGAGATGGAGGGGTGTTTTTCCTGTCTGAAGCCTGCCAGTTTGAAGGACAATTTTAATTAAAATAGGAATCAGTTAAAGGTTATAAAGATAAACTAGTTTGTCAAATGTACCCTCTTACCTGTCAATTAAGGCCTGAGAGGAGGACAGAAACTATCATCTACTGTATCCCAACTGTAGGAGGTACATGATGGAGCCCACAAGCAAATTAAATTGGAGCATTTCCCCTGCAGTGCCACTAGTGACATAAATGCATATTTCTCTTGTTTAAGAACTGCATTGAAATGTAAAGTGTTACTTTATTTGTATTCCAGGATTTCCTTGTCTTCAGCTGAGAGAACTTACAATAATTTAAGACTTTACATTCAAGGCCTTCATGTTATATAGCTTGAACATCGTGTCACAGATATATTATTTATCATTGTAAAAGTACATATTCCACACTCCTTTTGTTTTTTTTTCCATTTTTTTTCGGAAAAAAGACAAAACACGGCTTTTGAAAAACCTTGTTTTTTCATCAATTTTTCCATTTTTTTTCCCAGGCCTTCACATCGCTAAACAAAATCAACTTTCACTACAATATACATCTCCTATCCAGGGATTTTCCCCCACAGTACCTTTTTTTCTTTTGCTGCCTCAGTCTGATGGGCCAGCATCATTCGCCTCCTCAGCCCAGGTCATCCTGGACCTGTCAAAGCCGATTACTGGACAGTGGAAGGAAAAGCAACACACTGCTGTGCTCATCTTTATGTCACTCTGCTTTATCCTCCTATCAGCATGCTTCTTCTTAGTGACAGTTTGTCATTTTTTTGCAAGCATCCAATAATTTTCATATATAAAACAAGCAATTTCTGCTATGCAACAATGGCTGAAAGAACACTATTATGAAGGCTGTTCCTCACCAAATCAATGCTTGGTTTGGTAGAAGTTGCTGTGGTGATGAAAAGTACTTTTGGGGCATTTTATATTAGACATAAGATAGCATTATGCAAAAATGCTAGTTAACTGATAGAAATATTTCAAAAAGGTGAAGACTGATTTTCCAAGGTAATTTGTCCATATTATAGTTAAACCAACAAGAATATAACTGTGTATTTTGGAAGTTTGCACAGGATTCCAGTGGTACAGTTCATTCTAACCACTGATCTACCGTGTTTTGTCATAGTGAGATAATGTTAGGCCTGCAGGCACATGTAAACAGATATTTTAATAGCAATTTATCCACATAACCTAAAATGAAATGACCACAAAATTGGTGTTCATGACAATAACCAATAAAGTTTCAATTTCATCTTCAGGAGAAATGAAACAAGAATGTTGATATGGGCAACACCAACATTTTTGTGCTAATTCTGTCCTGTTCTAATAAATCATTCCAAAGCTTATGGACAGAGCAAACAACAGGTTCACATTAATGATCACCCTACAAACTGCAAATACTTTCCCTTTGCTCTCCTACAGCTTCATTCAGCTGCCAGGATTGAAGAGAGGTAACTCTATGTAAGTTTTAGAGCTTATACAGAGCAAAGGACTCTCAAACCCTCTCAAACTCTGTGTACCTAAGCAGCCAGTCTGTCAAATGGAAAGAAGATTAAAGCTGGCAATACACTATTAGAATTTGATGTGACATTTTTTGATTTAGGAGCATTTATTACATTTTCTAATTATTAGTGGGGTCAAATCAACATTTGTTTTTGAACATAGTGATGAGAAAATTTGAAGAAGCAGGATGGAAATTTTTTCTCGAGTGATTTTCCAACAGTGTATGTGGTTTTCATTTGGGAAAGTACATTATTCCAAAAGCAAATGTTAAAAATAAGTACTTATGGATTACATTTTTCAAGTCATTGAATGTACCAAGAATTTTTTTATAAACTCTTGTATGAACATTCGTCACATGCTCCTTCTATCCCAGATGTTGAAAGGTATGCGGACACTGCTGCTGAGGCTGGCATCAAAGTGAATCTGTTGCTTTATTCTACATGAGAAAATTACAAGTTTGCTTTAATAACATTTGTAAACAAATACTACTAACAAGAAAAGAACATATTACTTACAGAGTGGGAACCCCATGATGGTGTTTTACATAAAGAGGCGTGTGAAGAAGGTGTTTTAGTTAGACGGTAGAGATGTTCTAGCCACTCTTGACAATCCTGACTACTGCTGCAATGGACCGCAATACGCTCTATCATATGTCCTGCACATATTAGCACACATAAAAGAAAGATGAAACTTGATTAGTGTTTTAGAAAGCTTGATAAAAACTTTAAAGCTGAATTTCAGGCAAATATAAAAAAAAACTACACATCTTTTGGTCCTGTCCCGTTCTAGAAACTTTCTGTTCACAGGTAAGTGGCCTATTTAAAAAATTCAAAAATTTACAACTCCCTTATGACCAGCCCATTTTCTACAACACCTGTCTTTGATACCCATAGACATATATTGTAAATCCATTCTTCGACATCTACTAAACACAGCCAAATCCTGTATTCTTACTCTACAGAAAAGTTCTACTCCCCCATCTATGCAGCTATGAGCATGTAAAGTAGCAGAGATCCGCAGAATGGAGGGCCTGATCCTTTCAGTCCAAAAGAAAACATGAGACATACAGGTCCACATGGTTTTACTGGGATTCCTTTACAGTCACAGCTGAAGGACAAGGAAAACGACCCAGAGTAATAATTGGTCTCTCCTATCTGAGGCCCTGCCTGTGTGGCCCCCTCCCTTGACCTTACCTTCCTTCTCTCCCCTTTTCTCCCTCCCTCCTTTGCCCCCCTGGCATTTCCTTGCACTGTTATCTTCCAGATCAATCTCCTGCCCATCCTCTGTCACAATCTGTCTCAACCTTTCCAACACGGAGGAACTCTTGAAATAACTAACTTTCTGGTCATAGAGAGTGTTCTCCCCCGGCTGGATACAGTGAATATTGCTAATGGCTATATCATGGATCGACTTGAGTACAATCTTCCTGCCCATAGATGGCTCAAATCTTAGCCTCTCCCTGCTAAATGGTCAACTTTAGCCAAAATGTAATAATCTGTTTCAGATACTAGTAGAGCTCCTGTCATGTTTTTATTTCTATATCTACTGAGAATAGGACAGGAAGTGATGGGAAATCTCTCCGACAGGGACACGGAAAGAGACAAAACAAGTTTTTTGTAGACTGGGGAAAAGTTAGAACTTTTCACAAATTTTTAATCGCTCAACACATTTCTTGTACAGAAGTCACAGGGACAGGAAATGAAGGAAAACCACACCAATGGGGTAACAGAGAGGAGTAAAACCTGGCAGGAATGTAACTAATTTCCACTCTATGCAAAACAAAAAAAAATAAATGAAGTTAGACTTTCACAAAGGTGTATTTTGCAAAACCATATTTGTGGATAGTAAATGCATATTATCATTTTTTTTTATAAACAACAATTTTATTAAACATTTTATTTTTCATAAAGTACAACACTCCATGAGACATTCTACATGAGAGGTAAAGAGGAGAATCATATAGGTGGAGAGCAAATAGTGAAAAATCCAATAACCATTGATTGTGCAAGGCAAGACAACTCACCTGCAATCTCAAAAGCATGACTGATGTTGTCGCTCTCCTCTAACCTAACTACAGACATTCCAGTTAGTGGTAATTTCCCCTTTGAAAGAGAAAATAAAATATATCAGTAAACAAGCATCACTGTTTTTTTAGGAGAAATTAAAAGTTTACGGCTTTGCAGGCTCTCGTATTGAATTTCCAGCTTTCCAATGCGCATTCTTTGGTAAGAGGCAGATGGGTTCCATGAAGCCTTGTTAAGTCATATGTCTGAATATACAGGTGAAACTCGAAAAATTAGAATATCGTGCAAAAGTTCATTTATTTCAGTAATGCAACTTAAAAGATGAAACTAATATATGAGATAGACTCATTACATGCAAAGCAAGATAGTTCAAGACGTGATTTGTCATAATTGTGATGATTATGGCTTACAGCTCATGAAAACCCCAAATCCACAATCTCAGAAAATTAGAATATTGTGAAAAGGTGCAATATTCTAGGCTCAAAGTGTCCCACTCTAATCAGCTAATTAAGCCATAACACCTGCAAAGGGTTCCTGAGCCTTTAAATGGTCTCTCAGTCTGGTTCAGTAGGAATCACAATCATGGGAAAGACTGCTGACCTGACAGTTGTGCAGAAAACCATCATTGACACCCTCCATAAGGAGGGAAAGCCTCAAAAAGTAATTGCAAAAGAAGTTGGATCGTTCCCAAAGTGCTGTATCAAAGCACATTAATAGAAAGTAATGTGGAAGGGAAAAATGTGGAAGAAAAAGGTGCACAAGCAGCAAGGATGACCGCAGCCTGGAGAGGATTGTCAGGAAAAGGCCATTCAAAAGTGTTGGGGACTTTCAGAAGGAGTGGACTGAGGCTGGAGTCAGTGCATCAAGAGCCACCACACACAGACGGATCCTGGACATGGGCTTCAAATGTCGTATTCTTCTTGTCAAGCCGCTCCTGAACAAACAACGTCAGAAGCGTCTTCCCTGGGCTAAAGAAAAATAGACCTGGTCTGTTGCTCAATGGTCCAAAGTCCTCTTTTCTGATGAGAGCAACTTTTGCATCTCATTTGGAAACCAAGGACCCAGAGTATGGAGGAAGAATGGAGAGGCACACACTGCAAGATGCTTGAAGTCCAGTGTGAAGTTTCCACAGTCTGTGTTGATTTGGGGAGCCATTTCATCTGCTGGTGTTGGTCCACTGTGCTTCATTAAGTCCAGGGTCAACGCCACCGTCTACCAGGAGATTTTGGAGCACTTCATGCTTCCTTACACAGACGAGCTTTATTGGGATGCTGACTTCATTTTTCAGCAGGACTTGACACCTACCCACACTGCCAAAAGCATCAAAACCTGGTTCAATGACTGTGGGATTACTGTGCTTGATTGGCCAGCAAACTCGCCTGACCTGAACCCCATAGAGAATCTATGGGGCACTGCCAAGAGAAAGATGAGAGACATAAGACCAAACAATGCAGAAGAGCTGAAGGCCGCTATTGAAGCATCCTGGTCTTCCATAACACCTCAGCAGTGCCACAGGCTGATAGCTTCCATGCCACGCCGCATTGAGGCAGTAATTGCTGCAAAAGAGGCCCAAACCAAGTACTGAGTACATATGCATGCTTATACTTTTCAGAGGTCCGATATTGTTCTATGTACAATCCTTGTTTTATTGATTGCATGTAATATTCTAATTTTCTGAGATTGTGGATTTGGGGTTTTCATGAGCTGTAAGCCATAATCATCACAATTATGAAAAATCACGGCTTGAACTATCTTGCTTTGCATGTAATGAGTCCATCTCATATATTAGTTTCACCTTTTAAGTTTCATTACTGAAATAAATGAACTTTTGCACGATATTCTAATTTTTCGAGTTTCACCTGTAATACATATATTTTTATATGTGCACAATTACATAAAAATATAGACAATTTTTATAACTGCAGTTTAGGAACTGCATGGGCTGGACTATTTAAATTAAAGGGCCATTGAGAAGATCAAGCCTACTGCTGAAAACCAAGACAATTCACTCTGATCTTGACATGACATAGATGCATGCCTAAAAACTAGTATCAGGTTATTCACAAATGTTATACGTTATACAAGAATACAAAGTTCAGCAAAGTAGGCAAAGGTGAAAAGTGGATTTCACACGGTTCTATTTTTTTTTTCTACAGACACATACAGTGGGGAAAATTATTATTGGATCCCCTGCAGATTTTGTACGTTTTCCCACTTACAAAGAAATGAAGGAGCTATAATTTGTATCATAGGTGTATTTTAAATGACAAAGACAGATTATCAACCAAAAATCCAGAAAAAAAACACAATATAAATGTTAGAAATTGATGTGGCAAAGTCGGCCTGTACCTTTGGCAGAGAAACAGCCTCAGAAAAAATGTTTCCACCTCCGTGCTTGACTGTAGGGATGGTGTTCTTAGGGTCATAGGCAGCATGTTTCTTCCTCCAAACACAGCAAGTCGAGTTAATGCCAAAGAGCTCAATTTAGCATGAATCATTTAAATGTTCATTAGCAAACTTCAGATGGGCCTGTAGATGTGCCTTCTTGAGCAGGGGGACCTTGCGGGACTGAAGGAATTGAACCCATGGTGGCATATTGTGTTATCAATATGTTGTTTGGGGACTGTGGTCCCAACTGCCTTGAGATCATTCACAAGCTCCTCCCATGTAGTTCTGGGCTGATCCCTCACTTTTCTCATGATCATCCTTACCCAATGAGGCAAAATCTTGCATGGAACTCCAGACCAAGGGTGATTGATGGTTATTTTGTATTTTTTCCATTTGCAAATAATCGCTCCAACAGTTGTCTCTTTCTCACCAAGCTTCTTGCTGAAGGTTTTTTAGCCCATTCCAGCCTTGTGCAGATCTACAATCTTGTCCCTGACGTCCTTTGACAGCTCTTTGTTCTTGCCCATGATGGTGATGAGGTTTGAATGGAAGAAAGAGATTCTGTGGACAGATGTTGCATACACATAACGAGTTGTCTTTAGGAGCACCTTCTTAAATTGATAGGACTATTCTGTGTACCACATGAACACATAGCCAGTCTGTGGGAGCCAGAATTATTGTTGGTTGGTAGTGGGCAAACTTACAAAATCTTCAGGGGATCAAATAATTATTTTATCCACTGTACAGAGTTCATTACCTCCCCTACCATAGCAGAAATACAGGCATTCTATCTGAACTCTCCCACACAGCCATCTCATATATACCGTATAGTTTTAATTTTATTACAGATATTTATATAGGCGTTGACAATTAAAGCAGCACTTTACAAACTTGGCATTCATATCAGTCCCTGCCCTCAATGAACTAACAATCTACAGTCTCTATGTTATATTCATGCATACACATATACACACCGGTGCCAATTTGCACAAAAGCCAAGTAACCTACCAGCATGTTTTGAAGGAAACCAGAATATTCAGAGGAAACCTATACGAGCAGAGTGAGAGCATACAAACTGCATGCAGACAGTGTTCTGGCAGTGATTTGAACCAGGGACCTTAGTGCTGCAAGGAAGAAGTGATATCCCTTCCCCACGCCCCATATGCAGTCAAAACAGTTTTCTTCCTTAGCCACCTAAGTAGCCATATCATGTATACAGTCCAATTCAACCTCTACATCTGCCAACCTCACCAACACCACCACAGCAGCCATATACACAATTTTCTATCACTCCCCACCACAGCAACCCTATATACAATCCATCGAACATCCACTCTCTGGAGCAGACTTATATATGCAACCCCCCCCCCCCCCCCCCCCCCCCCCCCCCCCCCCCCCCAACACAACCATCACAGTCATGTCATTGATGATGGTACACTGATTAATGATTACCATTGTATGGTTATTCATGTTGTGTAGCAGTGTTCAATATTCACAAGGCTTTCCCACTCAGGCTATTTGCCAAATGGGTGTCTGGTGTATACTGCCAGGAAGGGGATCCCAGCTTTATTGCACTGTCATGTATAACCATTTGAGTAGTATATGTCATATGACACAGAACACAGAGTAAGCCAGGTCCTGCTTCCAAGCAATGAACAGTAGTCACCCATTGTAGTTGGGGGCTTACAGGCATATTGCTGTGGTTACCAATAGAATTTTGTAAAGTTGCCAAGATGACCCAGCAACCATGATAAGTTTAGTCCAAGGATCCCCATTAAGTGAATGCTAGCCATGTTTGCATGTTACCTGATAAATGAAGCCACTCATTCGAGGACTAGCAGACAGCATTAGAAGTGCACTTGGAAACAGCATGAAATATCTCTCATCTTTTTCCTATTTTAAAAGTGAACAAAAACAATCAGTGTGGCAATAAAGATATTTCCTACAGAATAAGAATATTATATAAAAGCAAAGTACTGTATCACCGGACGTTAATGAAGAAATGTAACCGTTTACTTAATTTTATTAAGTTTAAAATTATTTTTTCTCCTTTTTATTTCTTCATTAAATTAACAAGATCTATATTTTACAAAATAACATTAAAACAATGCAGAAAGAAGTGCATTCTATTAAACAAGAACACCACTCAATGTTTACTTTTTGACTGCCACTGTCTAAAACATCCACAGTGCTTTTTATGTAACCAACACAAGAAGGGATGTGTCTCTCTGCCAATTACTTTAGATGACTCTGTACTCTGACTCATATGTGTATGTTAAAAAGTGACCTTATAACACCATTCACAGCATGGTAATATACAACTGAGCAGAACCGGCTGAAGTGCACCACCTAGTGGCTGCAAGTGGCAAACATGAGATAAGTATATGTTTATATGTAATATTTTTTGTTTACCTGGCAAAAAAGAAGTTAAAATATTTGTTCAGGTTTATACAAAATCATGAAAACATATACAAAACATGTCCTTTAAAGCATTTCTTTATACCAGCTTTTCTCAACCTCTTCAACACAGAGGAACCCTTGAAATTACTTTTTGGTCTGGGGGAACCCCTGCTAAAAATTACTGTATCTACAGCTCATTATACATTCGTGTGATGGTCAGTGGGAAGAATGTTCCTTACACTTGTGGTCATTGAGAAGAATTACCCCCTTATAGATAGCTAAAAATATCAATGGTGTCAGCGGGAACCTATCTGAGAGGCGGATATTGCTCATTGCTCAAGGAACCCCTAGTAACCTCTGGAGGAACCCTGGTTGAGAAACCCTGCTTTATACCAAGTGTCCTTCAGTTATCAGAAACTATACAGAAGAATTGAAACAAAGGAGTATCATTATACAGTGCTCTGTGGTATTTTGTTTCTTAGGGGTCAAACGGGCAAATCTCATAAAAATATAGAATTTCTAGCACAGGAACCAGAGCCCAGTTGTAAATCATCTGTTGGGCTGCAGCAGCCCCTATTAGGATGGCACGTTAGTCTTAAGCAGGCCATAGAGGAGTCGAAAAACCACAGGAAAATTCTCGGTCGTTCATTTTTCTTATCAGCTGCGATGCGTGATTTTCATGTCACAATTGAAAGTGCCTGATCCAACATGCTGGATTTTGTTTAAAAAAATGAAGCAAATGATGGAACAGTCATATGTGTCATTTAAATTTTTCGACTCGTCTATGGCCTGCCTTATCCACTGCACGGGATAAGGTAACTTTCTAATACATACAGGGGTTGATTTACTAAAACTGGAGACTGCAAAATCTGGTGAAGCTCTGCACAGAAACTAATTAGCTTCCATTTTTGTTGTCAAAGCTTAATTAAACAAGCTGAAGTTAAAAGCGGATTGGCTAACATGCACAGCTGCACCAGATTTTGCACTCTCCAGTTTTAGTAAATCAACCCCGCAACGTATATTGGAGAGCAGAAAGCATTTATCTCTAATTGTGAGTAAGCCAAAACTTCAGTTCAATGTCACATACCTCATTTGCTGCAGACTGTACCATTACATGCGACATATACACAACATTTCCAAGGGTTTTAATGTCTTCTCCTTCCCAACACTGAATGGATTCCGAAAGTATTTGTAACTCCAGCTGCTTTCTTTTGCGCAGGTCCTGACACTGCACCTAAAATACACAGGCAGATAGTTGAGATATCAATTTGTAAAAATGAATGGCGATTACTATTATCTAACATTTTTTAGAACTGCTCTACTAGGGCTATGTTCAATGACCCAAAAGACCTATTGAATGCCCAAAGGCTAAAACTCTAGTACCATGGACCACAGGACAAATCACTCCAATGCAATTCCAAAGCTGATGCTGTTATTATCCTCTATTGCAATCATGGATAAGTATACTTACATTTCCCTCTCCTATATGTAGACAGTTACAATTTACATGGTACTTGAATTACAGTTTATCTTTGGTTTAATCATCTTGGTTCTGCACCTTCTACACTTCAGGTTCAAGTTGGCATTCACTGAAGGTGATCTCGCCTCCCTGGCTAGGGGTAGAAGAGAAGCTGTAACACAGGTCTTTGGCTTTCTAAAGTCTGGCAAGGCTTCCACTGTAGAAATGACCCAAACAGGCCTTCTTATCCTGCTCAATAGACAATTATATATGGCTACTCCATCAATTCCACAGGGAAAACAGAGGTAAAAAGACATCCAGCCGCAGCAGAATCTAGTATATGGAATTATCATTTTTTAGAGATAAAGTTTCTTTCAATACACTATAATGCAAATTCCTCTTTAATAAGAAGCTGTGCAGAGATGCAATCACAGATTATCTTAAAATAATGTTGGTCACAGTATCAATTGCTTGAAAGATTTCACTACAACACTCGAAATCCAGGCTATATATACAAAAGATGTGGTTGTATAGCATCATTCATTAAAGTCCTTAAAAATCATGCTCTGTATAGATGATCTCTACCCATGGCAATGCTACAGAGAATATGAAAATGTGTGTACAGCTTCAATATAGCAATTATATCACCCTATTATAGGCAAATTATCCAATTAACAATATGTAAGTTCATTTAATGGGTTACTTGAAGTCTTTAGAAAATATAATTTCTGGACATTTCTTAGCTTACTGTATTGTGAAATTGTTCTATTATCTGTGTTTACTGTAAGATACTAAAGCCCTAACTTTTAGTCTGTGTGTACAGCTGCCTGTTCAATAGAAGCCAAGAGAAATCTCTGCATCAATATCACTTGTGTTGATGCAAGGATCTGTCAGATTTTTTACCATTTAACCCACTAGTTGTACCCAGTTTAAATCTCTTGTACAATTGTAAGAACATAGATAAAACAATCTTATGATCAAGACTCTCAGCTACCCCATATTTGATCCCGGCACTATGCACTCATTTTCAGAGAAATTCGGTAACAATGACGTATAATGGTTTACGCAAACCCACGCAAATGTATGTGAGGCCTTTCAAAGATGTACAACTATTTGAGCAAGAACACAAGGATACACAGAAAATAAACATAATTTTGATGCGTTGGGGAGGCAAGGGTACAGCCCCTCTGCCTGCAGCCTGTCAAAGTCTACACCTGAGTTCTGGGCATATGCCCCTGAATAGATACAGCCCTAGACTTCACCATTATCATTCAGTACAGCTCCCAGTTGCAGTGTATTTCAGCCTGTCATTGACTTTGACAGGTTGCTGGCAGTGGGGCTGGATGCTGCACCAATACCTCCTGGGCATATGAAAACACCAAGATTGGACGAACATGGCTGTACTGTGCATGCGGCCTAATGAGTAATCCAAATATTCATGAGACATAACCCAAAGCTTCATTATTGATACTAATTCACTTTGTTGTACCTATAGAAAGATCTACAGAAACAAAACTGCTATCTGAAAATTACACCCATTTATTGCTGACCTGCTTCAGTTCAGCATCACTCTTTCCAATGCCTCGTATTCTGAGAAATGTTCATTCCTCTGAATTTGATCAAGGGCGGCAACTGAAAAGCTGCCGTGGTTTCTCTGTAACACTAGAAAACCCAACCTCAGGGGGAAACTGTAGCTTTCACAAAGAAGGGGTAACCCCATTCAGCATCAGCCAATATTTTAAACCAACACAATCAATGTGAATGCAAGTTATTTAAAGAATTCATGTAATGCCCTTTTTTTCACCAAACCCTAGAACTGGCATAAATTAACATTTGCAGTATTAGCATACATGTAGAGTTCTAGCTTTAAACTTTAATTATCGCATACATATATGTAATATAAAATAAAAATAGAAAAAATACGAGCACTGGATAATCAATCAGAGAGCGGCTAGCATGAAAGGCAAATACCAGGAGCCTCAAAAGTAATATATATCAAACGACCATGCAGCGCTAATACATACAATGATGCATACAAAAAACCCTTTGGTGCAGGTGATAAAGTGAACACCACTTAATATTAGAAAGGATCTTTAAGAATTATCTAAAAAGTCCAGAAATACTAATGATGGTGAAAATCTTATAACAAGAGTGTTCTTGCGGTGCATAATACATATACGTTTTTAGGACAAAAAGGTGACACAATATGTGACTTCTGTGACCATATTCCTCCCGCAGAAAATGAGTGTAGTTTGCACTAAACCAGAGAGCGCAATTTTAATGCGCCTTTGAGTGTTAACCAACTCCTGGTCATCCGGCTACTGCAAACTGGAACTGGATCACAGAGTGGTCATCAGGCCTGCAACAGCTGGGCAAACATCACAACCTCAGGGACACCAGATATCAGAAGGCGTGTAGTCGTCTCACCACCGGGGGGAGTCTAACCAATCCTGATGTGGCCACCAGATCATCCCAATAAGCCTTGAAGGAGGGGGGGGCTCGGAAGTAACGAGCCAAGACAATAGAAGATTCTGATAGTGTAGTACTTTATTATCCACATTAGAGCAGTAAACAAATAACTAAAAGTCTTACTCACATGTGTAGTGAGCAGCTGGTAGCAGGAGATTTCCAAAATGGCCGCCGGCCGTCCACAGGGGCCATGCAGAGTGACGTCACAGGGTATGCAGCACTTCTCTAACGCGTTTCGTGCAATGGCACGTTATCATTTTGTTATTTCGTGCGATGGCACGTTATTGCACCATTTCGTTATTTCGTGCGATGGCACGTTATTGCACGAAACGCGTTAGGGAAGTGCAGCATACCCTGTGACGTCACTCTGCATGGCCCCTGTGGACGGCCGGCGGCCATTTTGGAAATCTCCTGCTACCAGCTGCTCACTACACATGTGAGTAAGACTTTTAGTTATTTGTTTACTGCTCTAATGTGGATAATAAAGTACTACACTATCAGAATCTTCTATTGTCTTGGCTCGTTACTTCCGAGCCCCCCCCTCCTTCAAGGCTTATTGGGATGATCTGGTGGCCACATCAGGATTGGTTAGACTCCCCCCGGTGGTGAGACGACTACACGCCTTCTGATATCTGGTGTCCCTGAGGTTGTGATGTTTGCCCAGCTGTTGCAGGCCTGATGACCACTCTGTGATCCAGTTCCAGTTTGCAGTAGCCGGATGACCAGGAGTTGGTTAACACTCAAAGGCGCATTAAAATTGCGCTCTCTGGTTAGTGCAATCTACACTCATTTTCTGCGGGAGGAATATGGTCACAGAAGTCACATATTGTGTCACCTTTTTGTCCTAAAAACGTATATGTATTATGCACCGCAAGAACACTCTTGTTATAAGATTTTCACCATCATTAGTATTTCTGGACTTTTTAGATAATTCTTAAAGATCCTTTCTAATATTAAGTGGTGTTCACTTTATCACCTGCACCAAAGGGTTTTTTGTATGCATCATTGTATGTATTAGCGCTGCATACATACTGTATATGTGCCCAAATATAGATGAAATGCTGCTATAACAGATTTTTTGCTAAAAATGACTGCAAGGGTTAGTGCTCCTTTAAATATTGCTAGCTTTTGGCTGCCGTTGAGGAACTAAAGCATGCCTATTAAGAGGGCAAAGAATAATAAAAACATACTCACAGACAAAGCATGTATCTAAAAAGCATACAAAAATGAGGCATCACCAGCAAGGCTACTACTTTCCATTCATCACACATCTGCATCAGAGGCTGGTCATCAGCTCTGAGGAAAGGGATTCGTCCCCGAAACGCGTCAACCATTTGACCGCACTGACAGTGAGAACACCTTGCCTGCTGTTGTGGCCATTGTCATTTTTCTATGCTTTTTAGATACATGCTTCGTCTGTGAGTATGTTTTTATTATTCTTTCACTCCTTACAATAAACCTTGGATAATGCACTAGGTGTGTGCGCCACCTGTTTTCTCTCTATCCAGTGGCTGATTTCCCCGTCTGAGGAGGGCTGCACCCCTGAAGCATTTCCTTTGGTTGTCGCTGTCCTGGTACCCTTGGCTTCCCTTTTGGCTGTGCATATCCTGAGGCGCTGGAGAGTACATACGATATCCTACTGTAATGTAAGCTGAGGTATGTTGTGCTGTGCTTGGTTGCATATCTAATTTGTTGTGATGCACACATGACAGCTGTGAGTACTAGTTGGAGTGGTTGCTTAACAAATGTTTGGAAGGTTTATGTCAGATACTTCATTAAAGGTGCTATTAATGCTCAAAGAAGAAAAGATGATGCATGATATTGAGATCAAAAGGCTCCTTTTTGCTTGTGCTTATAAGTGAACTTTTGAATAAAGTGTATTTTTTTGTAAAAAGGTACTTGGTGGATTTTTACATTCAAGATACATGACTCAAAAAAATATTGCTCGAATCTTAAAGGGTTACTAAACCCACAACAATAAAAATCAGTCTGTATATGCAGTAAAGCATGCTTGTTATTCTGACTGTTGAACCTAAGGGGTTAATCCTCTGCATTGTGAAAAAGGCTGTTTGATCCTAGCTTCTCTGATCCTCATTTCTTCCAGTGTCCCCCTCTTATCTCCTGATAATACATATCGAGTGGATTCACTCTGCACATGCTCAGTTTGATGTGTATTGCTAGAGAGGTTTTTTTTTTTCTTGGGAGAGTGCATGTGATCAGATCAGAGACAATCAGCACTGTCCACACAGAGGTCAGAGGTTCTGCATCCTCCTAGAGCAGAATGAAAACTCATCCTACAAGCTTTAACACACACTCTGCTGGACACTGATAGAAGTCACAAGACTGCTCTAACTTCTGATGATAAAAGTTATTTAGCAGTTTATGTATTAAATAAGTGTGTTAAATAAACGTGTATGTGATATTTATCAACACCTACTAAATTGTGCTTAGTGTATAATTCACTGTTCAACAAATTTTTATTTTTTGCCAGTTTTGGAAACAAAAGGATCCATTTCTTAATGAATTTCACATTCTGAGTTCAAATATAACAATGAAATTTGTCAATTGGCTCTAGTTTTTCTGTAAACGGAAAGTTTTCTACTATAGGCGTAATGACTACATAATGCACAATAATTATATAGATAGATGTCTTTCCACAAATATAAAGCAAGTGATATTGACTACATAACAAAGCCTAAATGGCATAATATATTGCATAGGATTACCAAGAAAAATTATAGCCATAAGCTAAGTTGAATCATTTTAATACTTAGGATTCTCACTAGTTTTGTCTTCAGTTTGTGTCGGTTTTGCTTCTCTTGGCTTTTCTCTTGTATTCGAGGAAAGGGCTATCTCTTACAACTGCACGTGACTACACGCTTCAGGTTCTTCCTCACTTGACTCAACCACGAAGGATTCTGGTGCTTTAGGAATTGGTAGCCCCTCTCCATGAGGAACTGGACGTATTGCCGATAGAATATTTGGATAGTGTACAGATAACTTTTTCTTCTTATTTAGCCCTTTTACAATTGGAGGCACCATACAAAAGTAACAATTACTAACATGATCTGTTGGCTCTCTCCAAATCATTGGCACAGCGAAAGGCATAGATGCCTTTTTTCCATTCAACCATTGCTCCAGTGCCGTCCCACAAGAATTGCAGCATATATGTGGTGCCCAGCTCATGTCCTGGTCTCCTATCTTGCAGCCAAAATACAAGTTGTAGGCTTTCTTAATCATTCCTGTTATCCTCCTTTTTTGTGAGATAAAAGTTATTTCACCGCAGATATAGCAGAAATTATCTGCTTTATTCACACAAGTTCGAGGCATTACTGAGTAGCCTATATAAGCATAAAACGAAATGTAAAGACGCTGTCGAACTACAATCAGCTACAGATACTGCAGCTTTTATGCAGTGAAGTGATGCAATTAAAGGCTAATATTGCATCATCTCAGTATACATGCAATTTTCTATTGGTCACCAGTATCAATTGCGCAATATGCAGCTGAAGTTGCATCATAATTTTGAATGGCTTACGTCATTAGATGGGTGAATATATCATGGAAACTAGAGCCAATCAACATTTTTTAGGGTCATTTTCGTTTTCAGCACCCCAAAATTATGTAAGATTAGCTAATTTTATGCCCAAAACTTTTTACCTGTTGAACAGTGTTATATTCAACAAATATATATATATTAATAAAAAAAAACAGCTGCCACTTTAAATGAACTGTAATAAAATGAGTGAATAAAACAACACAAAGTGTTATAGTGGAGCTAAATTAATAGTGATGGGGTGATATAGTGAGTACAACACAATAAAATGTGAATAAATCAATAATATATCAGTGAATTACTGTGAATACAAAAATTATATAAAATAATCCTCCTCCTGTCTCTCTTGGGTAGAGCCTACCCAATGTATGGAATCCTTAACTGTTTATTTTGTGTGTGGTTTTGTATATATATTATTTATTTTTATATATATATATATATATATATATATATATATATTATTTTTTTTTATTTTTTTTTTTTTATTTTAATATTAATATTTTTTCTACTATTTTATCTTCTAAAATATATATATTTTTCATTTTTTACTTTGTTTTTCGGTTATATTAGGATTGTGCCATTGTTTCATGTAGCGCAGCATTTTTTCACTTCACATTATGATTGTAACCTTTTTACATTATCTTTAAAATAAACCTTAACAATCCTCTTAGAAAATAAACAAAAAACGGATGTGCTTCAGTGAAGAAAGCAAAAAAAAAAAAAAGATCAATCTCATAAATCTACTGATGTTGCATCTTTCCATGATGACTAACCCTTTAGATGAAGACATATAGGAATTTTGATTTCAAGGTTTAAGTTTATGCTGCAGTCTCAGGGTATGGCAGTAGAGGAAGGAAACTTCTCCTACACATATGAGGAGAGAAATAGTGTAATGTCACAAAGTGCAGCCTTCATGCTGGATTATCTATTTTCCAACCCACAATTTATATCTGAGTAGAAGAAAAACCTGTACAGAACAATATTTGAAATACGTCAACTGGTAAATGTCATTATATGAGTCAAACAGTCAAAGGTCAATGTATTCACCTGCTGTTTTTTTTTTTTTTTTTTAAATCATGTGAGTTTTGTTTCATTACAACACTTAGGAATCACGACTATGACATCACAAATAGAAAAAAACTGATTTATATGAATTAGGCCCAAAGACTTTAAATGGTGGCTGAATGAATAATATCAATCCCTTTTAGTAATATACAGATGTACATTTGTATTTTATGAGTAAGGGGAGGACTGGGTTGGGGGAACAGAGGGATGTTTCTTCCTGACCCTTTATAAGTAAGATTTGTATATAAAGTGACTATGTGCTAAAGACTAGACTACTAGTGATGTGTATTAAGCACAGCCCTGACAGCTCCTGATGAACTCCGCTCTGATGAAATGCGTTGCGGAGGTCACTGGCATCAGGAGATTATTCTCCTTGCTCTCAGAGAGACCCGAAGATTAGGAGGACTTTGCACATTATCTGGTGCTGGTATAGCATCAGAGCATGGTTTAACTTGTTTTGATTTAATAGAAAATGTTTACTCTATGGAGAATCTCAATTTTTTTTTCTGTTTAATCCACTGGTAGTAAATGCCCCTGATAAGGATAGATAGCCTGAAGGTGGTCCCCCTTTGGGGAATATGCTTTTTATGATTTAAAGATCATCTGTATTTGGTGAGTTGATTCAAACTAAAGGGACATGGAGGGAATAAAAGAGACCTTGGAATATCTTGGTTACAGTGTGGTTCATAATTATGGTGCATGACTAGTGGTCTCCTTTGAATGAACAGTTTTTTCTCAAAATGGCACTGGGATATACACACACCTGGACTGCACTTTTTGCATTTTGTAATAGGGTTTGTTATTGGATACAACAATTAAAGGATACATGTGTTTGGATTGCACTTTTGTCATTTACATTTACATATTTATGGTATGTACATGTGATATACAAAATATGCTGAAGGGATTACATATAAGCATTGAGGTCTTACATATAAGTATAGAATATATTTTATTTACTTTACACAAATGGCAATGCAAAACTTGAATTCAAACGTCAAATTCCATCCCTAGGGAAATTTCAAAATGTTAGGGCTCTTTTTCTGGCTCAGTGTCTATAGACCCTGAACTTGGAAGCTTGAAGTAGAAACTTTTGTGGTTCGAAACATTGCTATGGATTAAATGTGCCTTTAATCTAATGGTATTATAACATTTTGCTGCGCACACCTGCATAAGATGTGCACTGATCATGTATTTAATGGTGACATTTGTTGCTCTATATGCACTATAGTAGAGCAAATCTTCACAAACCTGTGTTAGTATTACTCACATTATGTAAGCTGAAATATTTCTGCAGTGTTTTACTTTGTTTACTGCCCCTACATTACTATGCACAAAGACAATAGACATGTAACCAGACAAACCACCTACCACAAGAGCCTTGAAGGATGCTGTGACTCTGAGTACATCTTTATGATCTGAATGGGCTTCCTGTAAAGAAAAGAACACATTACTTTATCAAAATGTTTTCAAAGTTAAACATATTTGTAACTTACTATCACCAATACACAGCTACTAAGCAGGAACAACATCTAACTTTAAGAGACTTGCCTAGGGTGTGTTCACTGCCCAGCAGTAATAAACCTAAAAACAAAACTGTCATCTATTGCAATTTACCAATCCTTAAATGTGGTAGCTGCCATAGATTTTGCTTTCTTTGCTTTTAACTTTATTTTCAATTGGTGACCTGGCCAGTAACACACTTCCTGCCTTAGGGTGTCTCCACAGTGGATGAACGAGTAATGGAAACACTCTTGGACAGCAGCACTGGCAATCTGGGGAGAGTGTAATGGTAATTTCACTAGCAGATTTAAATGGGCGTAACTAACAAATCTGAGTCAAACTCCAGCTGACACTTTTTAAGCAGATACAAAAAACAGTTGTTTTTTTCTTTTTGGGTTATAGATTTTACATAAATGGATAAAAGCTGACCACTGCAAGCAGTCTGTGTTAAAGTGGAACTAAGCCCACTGATTTAATGGTTTCCCAAAACAGCTACATTCATGGCATGTCTTGAATGATACCTGTCACAATTGATAGTGTGCTTATGTTAGCCTTCAAACTGCCAAGATATCAAATTGCAGGTGTCAAAGCTGGTGACATATGCAAAGCTTTGGCAACCTGCAGATCATACAGAGGCTAATATGGCAGCTTCCTTGGCTGTAAAGGATAGGGAGGGGAGGGGTTCAGTTCTGCTTTAAATGGTTTGTCTCAACCCTCTAAATGCCACTTTTGCTGAACAGGTTGCTCTGTTAAAGGAAGTTGAAAAAACAGACTTAATGGCCATATCACCAAGTGAAAATAAAGGGGAAAAAAATAAAATTAATACATTTTTGGGTGTAAATACCACTTTTAATAAGTAAACAGTAATGTTGCTGACATCTATTGATCCACCCAATCAAGATTAACTTAAATGGATGTGTATTAAAAAAAAACAAACAAAAAAAAAAACACTATACATACAAAACAAGCGCAAAATTATTGTAACTATTCATTCAAGTCCCAAACACAGATGCAAGTTATCCTGTATGTTGTTTTTAAAGCGGCAGGCCAACTGAGTGTGATATTTTAAAACAGAAGTCTGAGCTAATACTAACCCCCATTCTAAGCCCTATACTAACTATCCTGTAAAGGACAGATGTGTATACTGTACTTACCTAATCTATGGGCACCCCAGTCCGATCACGTGATCAGCTCCCAGCCCTGGCTTCAAGGTAAAGGAGGAACAGCTGACAATGGTTGACCCATAGTAAGTTTGTGGATGATCTCACCACCCAAACATTGCAGCCATTGTTGCTCCTCTCCCCTCTCTCCTGAAGCTGGCCATTGGGGAGGTCAAGTGACTGGATCAGAGCGTCCTTTCATTAGGTAAGTACAGACATCTTTCTTATACAGGATAGTTAATATAGGGCTTAGAATGGGGTGGGAGCAGGTTTTAGATTAGAAACTATCAGTCTGGACTTTCACTTTAATTGTTTTTCTAGTGGGCTGTGCCATCCACAGGCTTTCCATATCTATTTGGTATAGTTCCTATTGCTGCTCCGGCCACCTTGAAGTTTTGATTACTTGCAATCCTCCAGTTACACTCACCTGAATATAAAATAAACTTAAAATCCAACAAAGAACACAAAACACCCAGCTACAGAGCGTCTGCAAATCTATAAACTCAAAAACAGAGATTTTACTAAAAGTGATAGCCCAAAATGTATCTAAAGCAAAAATGTTTTATTTTCATTTGAGAACAGAGTAGGGGATAGTTTGAAAAAAACCCTCTTTTTTATTCTGTCTGTGATTTATTAGTCAGATGTTCCTTTACTTCCTTGTCCTGTACGCACAACAGAAAGTGTACGGGAATCTCTTCAAACAGACAATAAATGTCCTTTTAGATAGCTGTGACTGAAACGTGTTCCCTTTAGAATAGTTCCCCTAACCCAGTGGTTCTCAACCTGTGGGTCGCAACCCCTTTGGGGGTCAAACGACCCTTTCACAGGGGTCCCCTAAGACCATCAGAAAACACATATTTCCAATGTGTAAAGAGCAGCTACTGTGTAGAAAGCAGCTGCTGTGTTGAAAGCAGCTACTCTGTTAAAAGCAGCTACTGTGTTGAAAGCAGCAGTATTGGAGGTAAAACGACACTCATGAATTATAATTACTGGGTAAATAATTTTATGGTTGGGGGTCACCACAACATGAGGAACTGTATTAAAGGGTCACGGCATTAGGAAGGTTGAGAACCACTGCCCTAACCCATGGGTGCTCAACCTGTGGTCCTCCAGATGTTGCGAAACTACAAGTCCCATGAGGCATTGCAAGTCTGACAGTTACAACTATGACACCTAAAGGCAGAGGTATGATGGGACTAGTAGTTCTGCAACAACTGGATGGCAGCAGGTTGATCACCCATGCCCTAAACTTTTGTTCCATGGGGAACTGTTAAATGTTGAATATTCCCTCACTTTCAGTCTCAGGTCACACAGAATCTCCCCAACGGGGGCATATACAGCATAAAACTCCTGACAGAGATCACCACTTCCGAAATTTAAAAAAACAAAACATAGAAAAAAAAACAACTTCTTATAGAGGAAGTATGGAAACTAAAAGTGACAGTTTTCACTGCACTGTGCCCTAAGAGGTAACTCATTTACATTCTCCATAGCATGTGGTGCTGTGGCAGTCTTGTATAGAGAGATTAGAAATACCCATTGGTTAACTCAATGTACAATTTATGTATAGGCTAAAGATACAAATGTTATTTCACCCTACTTTTCTTATGACATCTTATTTATTGACTTATTTTCTGCTAGAGTGCCTTGTTCATGAACCCAACATTTCTACTGTTATGCAAAATTGTACCGAACTACATCTACTAGCATCCTAATACCAATTTGACATGGTGACAATCAGCTATTCAGAGGTAGGACCTGTCATCAACAGCTGTGTGCAAGCCATCTTCAAGACTGCACTGCACTACAGAGATAGAGAAAGCATGAAAAGGTGTAATGCAAATGTGTTTCTTACTATGCAAATTATCTACGGCTGTTTCCAGAGGATGCTGGACAATAAATGGAGAAGACTGGCCTGGTTTTCTACATACAGCTAATTTATGGTTTTCACTGGATAACAGAGAAAAGCGGGAATACTATATTTCCATTGGACTAATAGCAAGAAGTAAAACGTGTGCAAAATATTAACTCCACAATGTTTTTGTACTTTGTCTCATATTTACTTCTGATCCTTATGAAACTTTTAAATATACACCGAGGATTAAAAATGAATGTTCATTTAGGAAACCTTGCTAGTTGCAAAGCATTATATTGTGCCAGCCATTTATTGAAGCAGAAACATGAAAAAACATTCCGGGGCGGGGAGAAAATATCACTTCCAATGGGAATGCAGACAGCAGGTAACAAATGTACCCAGGTCAGGATATACTGTAGCTAGTAGTAGGTCAGGTCATCGTAGCTAGTAGTGCTTATTAGGAAACAACTGGACTTGTTCTCTAACACTGAAACATTATAGAACAGTTCCAGATGGATGTCACAAACTACTACTAGATTCTCAAAAATAGCAGAGACAGCAAAAAAGCTATATTTAAGTAATAACAGTTCCCAAATTTTTTTTTTAAGTTTACGCAGCCATTCTAATTTAAAGTGTCATTCGATCCACATCATTAAAGGGTTCACTTTTACAAAAATTAATAAATGCACATTTTTTTTGCAGGCAAAAACAAATACGCAACAATTATTTTTTTTGTTAAGGACCTGTAAAGCTTTGGACCCATGATCAGCAGATCAGGGGTGTAATGCCACGGTCCTGCAGACTGTCTGTGTATCTGTCTGCCTGTACCTCCAATACCGGCAGGCAGTTAAACTCTGACAAGAAGCTCAATGAACTACCTAGAGCAATCAACACCCCTCTTGTAGTTCATTGAGAACTACAAGCCGATAGCCACAAAAGGCTGTTGGGGCATGTAGTTTTCCCATTCACAGAATACTGTGAATGAATGACGCAGCTCGGGTGGGCACAAGCCCCGCACGGCCGTACTTTTTAGTTTGTGACAGCTAGCAGGGGGAGAAGATTCCCCGCTAGCTGTCAAAACAGGGGTGCAGGGGCAGGTCTGTTTATAACATGCTACACCCTGAATATGGATGTAACATGTTACAAAAGGTCATCTTATCCTTTAAAAACTGTCAGTATATCCTGTATTACATGATATTCATACTCAGTCACTATGGGATATGTTTTCTGTATTCAGCAAAAATCCTGGATGATCCCGCTGTTCACTGTCCCTCCATCCTTGTCTGTGTCCTTGCTGCAGCCTGAGATTGTGTAGACCAGCTGTTGCCACCTCTACTGAGCATGCTCCAGTTTCAGTTTCTGAGCTATTTATTTCCTCCTTTTTCTTATCTGTGCAGCTCATGTGACTATAGAGTCACACATGTGGGTGTATACACTCCAGATAAATGACAACCCACTCCCTCCCTCCTCCTCAATGCCCACTGGACAGCTAAATACAATGGGCGCAGGATATGATGATGATGTTTGACGGAGCCTTCATCTTCCATATACAAACAACAGACACAGGCTGGAGAGGCATGATTGGCAGAACCTCCGTCTAGATTGCTCACACTATGTTTTTGCATACAAATATTAAAGATTTGAGTTCAAATACATATTTGTATGACAGCTTAAAACATTTATTCAATATTAATTATGTATTTTTCCATTGTATTTCACAGGATGTTTTTTTGCCATGTGACTGGCAGCAGAGGACTAGAAGCTCCTACTGTACATGTTTCCCTGCAGACTTTTTTTTTTTTATGAATACAGTGCCATCATCCATACACATAGAAAAGGAATAATGAAAATTAAATAGTATGTGTTTACTCCAGGAACAAGAAAAAAAAAAAGTACTCTTGCAGTTGGGAAGT